TCTGTTTTAGAGTTGAACTGTGCTATTTAATAAGATGCAGTACTTTTCTGTTATAATAAACATTAATCACAAAGATTCACTAGAAAATGAATAAGGTATTGATATTAGTTCTTCTCTGTGCCGTTGCCATATTCACAAGTTCCAATTCTGCACCTGAATCCGACCCGATTCTTGACATAAACGGAAAAATCCTCCGAACACAAACTACGTATTTAGTAGTCCCAGTAAATCACAAATATGGTGGGATTTCTTTAGAAACCATTGGCAATGAAAAATGTCAACTTGGTGAAGTTGAAGAAATTTACAATGTGCACGGAAGCTCTGTGGCATTATTCCCACTGAACCCAAAGAAAGGTGTAATACGCGTGTCTACTGATTTAAACATTGCGATTTTGTTTATTGCAAAGTCATTTGCAAAGATGTTGAGTTTATATGATCAATGGATAGAGACGTTTGTCACTCAGCAATGTCCCTCTTGTGTTCAATTTTAAAAAGGAATTCACTTAACATCGAAAAAATAACGATTAGTAATAATAATGATTAGTATAAAGAACAATAATGTAATAACGCGTGCCTACGCTATGCTTTTATTATTGAGTAAACATATAAGTTATTAACCCCATTTTTTCCTGTTTCCATAATTCAAGTCCCTAACAAATTAGGAAAAATAATAAAGTAAACAATTAGGTAAATGGAAACCTAATCACCGTAACTGAATATTCTGCCTATAAATTGACTTGCAAAGCCTCATAGTTACTCACTTTTCATTCAATAGAAACAATCTCCATTACTACTCTCGAAATGGAACGCCACGAATCAAGAATGGAAATGCTCACAGAGTCAGTAAAATCAATAGCATTCAAGAAACAACAGATAACAAAAGTATTCCATAAGGGGGATGAAGTTGAAGTGGCAAGTCAAGTATATGGCTTCGTAGGTTCTTACTACGAAGCAACTATTGTTTCTCCCATTGGCGCTTATCATTACAGAATCGAGTACAAGAATCTGTTGACTGATGATGAATCTGCACCACTGGAAGAGATGTTCACTTCAGCCGCGATCCGCCCTGTTCCACCTCATCAAGATGAAACAATGTAGAAAACGGATTCCGTCTGTACGATATGGTTGATGTATTTGCCAACGATGGATGGTGGTTTGGATTTATCAGTGGGAAAAATGGAGAAGAGTACTATGTCTACTTCCCTACAACTGCAGATAACATTGCATACCCTCGTCATGTGTTGAGATTTCATCAAGAATGGTCTAATGGGAAATGGATAGCTCTTCCAAGACAAGGAAAGATTTTCGACTTGCACTAATCTTGATTTCAACAAGTTCTTGATTTACTGTAATGTGATATGAATGTACTGAATCTTTTTCCTTTATGTTAAAAAGAATTTCAAGTTTAGTCCCAAAAATTGCTTTGCTAATAAAGATTTCTATTGAGGAAATAGTCATTAAATGTTTGTACTTTACAGTGAGAAATAAGAATCTGTAATTTGTTACTCTGTTTTAGCCTTGAATTGTGCTGTATAATAAGATGCATTACTTTTCTGTTCATTTATAACTTATATCTACAGAATTGAAGATATTCAATAGTAACTTTGAGAATTGAGATTTAGTATCTGTCAATAAATTATATGCTTGGATTCGACCCGACCCCATTGGGACACATATTATGTCCTTTTGGTTCACCTCGAAGAAACAACTACTTACCTTCATCAGATATTTATATCAAATCAATAATAGTGTGTGTGTGTTATGCATATTATTATAGTATCACCTGACTATAATTAATTAACGAACATTTTCTTAATTAACCAATATAAATTTCAATGATTTGGGATTAAACCATCAGCTAGGAACACCAAGTTGACATGTATTGTGCTGCTGATTTGGTTATCTTTAGACAAATATTATCAATCATCAAAACAATCAGGGTCAAACACCATCAATCAACCTCTTTAGGCACCCAAAGTTTTAATTAAACCAAAATCCAACCAATGTGCTATTTTTCTTCTATAAAAACACTAATCACATATATTCCTAATATCCATCCAAACAAAACAGAAAATGAATAAAGTTTTGCTATTACTTCTTCTCTGTGTCTTTGCCATCTTCACAAGTTCCAATTCTGCACCTGAACCTGATCCGATTCTTGACATAAACGGAAAAATCCTCCAAACACACACTACGTATTTCGTAGTCCCAGTAAATCACAAATATGGTGGGATTTCTTTAGAAACAACTGGCAATGAAAAATGTCAACTTGGTGTAGTTCAAGAAATATACGATGTGCACGGAGGCTCCGTGGCATTATTACCACTGAACCCAAAGGAAGGTGTAATACGTGTGTCTACTGATTTAAATATCGCGATTTTCAGCACCCACGGGTGTGGTGATCAATCTACAGTGTGGCAACTTGAGACGTATGATTCGAAAACAGGAAAGTATTTTATTAAAGACGGCGGAGTTGAAGGAAATCCTGGTCCTAAGACTATAAGGAATTGGTTCAAAATTGACAAGTATGGGCTTGGTTACAAGTTTGTTTATTGCCCTTCAGTGTGCAGTAAATGCAAAGTTATTTGCAAAGATGTTGGAATTTATATGAAAAATGGACAGAGACGTTTGGCACTCAGTAATGTCCCTCTTGTGTTCAATTTTAAAAAGGAAGAATTCACTTCTTGAGTTTGAACAAATAACAAAATAATAAGAATAAGGACATTACAATAAGTTGTTCTATAAAAGAACAATAATGTGAGCTATGCTTTTATTATTGTCACTGAATAAATAAATGCAATCCCGTTTGCCTAATTTGAGCTCGAAAGATTAAGAGTTTTGTTTAGGGGTGGCAATGGATGGGTCATAATGGGTTAAGATAATAATCGGGTCAAGACCCAATTCAATCCAAATTTGCTTGGGTCAAAACAAGTTGGGTCATAATGGGTTACATTACAGGTCAAGACTCACCCAATTTCTACTAAGCTTAATTGTTTTATTTGTCTTTTAAATTATTTTAGTACCTAATAAAATTATATTTTTTCTTTATTATGGCTATACAACATATCAAATTGAAAAGTAAGCTTTTAAAAAATATTCCGACAAGATTTTTCATGAGCCAATCAGGTTACATATCAACCCAATTTTTAATGGGTTGAAATGGATTGAGTTAATGAATGGGCAAGTTAATAACCCAATTACGTAACGTTTTTGTATGACACTAAGTTGACATGTCTTATTATTGCCTATGGTTTCCACGGCAACGCCACCATATTTTTCGCCGTTAATTGGAACTATAAAATATGTTTTTTCTGTTCGGAGAATTTTGCCGGTTATGTCAAGAACTGGATTAGGTGCTGAAGATGCTTCACAAAGCCAAGAATTTGTGAACATGGCAAAAATAGAGATAAATTGTAATATGAATAATTTCTTCATTTTCTGAAACTTTTGTACTATGATTGGTATTTTTTTTATTTTGGTTTTGTGATGGAGAATTTTTGTATGGACATTAAAGGTGTGGATTGTGTTTTTTTATAAAGAAAATATAGCACATTGGTTGTGGATTTTTTGTTTAAAACTTGGGCACGTACCTAAATAGGTCGACGGTGTTTGACTTTGACATTAAATCAAATATTTTTGTGTGGCTTTTGTTTGACTTTCACTTTTCTAATCCAATGAGCAATTTTGGGAGGTTTGATGGATATTATTTATGAGAGAGGTCTGTCACTTGGTGTGCATGGTATTTGAAATTTTTTAATCCAGTAATTTTGATCTTTAATAATTAAAAGTACGATATATATATATTACTTAATAGTTTGTTCGATTTGGACTTATATATAATTTATACGTAATAGATAATTATGATTTTTACTTTTTAAGAAACGTCTCAATTATATCATACTAACATCTTACATATGTAGAAATATATATTTTTTAAAAAAGTAAATGTAATTAATTTCATTAATCAATGACACAAAAAGATAATTTAACTAAAATAGAGTAGACAAAATTTGAAGGTCTAATATTATTTTTTTCATACTAATACTAATTTACAAATTCGTTAGTATCATATTATTAATTAAAATATATGAGTTGTATATATAATTATATATTTCGATATGATAATCTGTATTTCATTTTTTTTCTTCATAAATGTTGCATATTGTACCAAATATAAAACAAAAATAATTAAAACACATATCAAAAGTCATGTCAAATATCATAATATCGTGATGCGGTGTAACAAATTGTAAAAACATTTTGGGAGCATATATATATATATATATATATATATATATATATAAGTAATTAATTATTTTAATTATGATTAGAGCTTTATTCTAGTTAATTAAATTTCAGCCATTAAGTTAGAACTGTGACATGTGTCTCCAAACCAAGTAAGAATTTTAGGAAGATGAAGAGAGAGAGAAAAATGAAGAGGAGCCAGATCCAATAATTACACCCTTTTTTTCTTTATAATTTGTGCTTTAAGAAATTATACTTTTTTTGGTAGTAAAATGTTTTACTACTATTATTCCTTTATTTATATGATATATATAGTCATAAATAAAGTGTTGGAAAAGAATATGATAGATTAGAGAGTAAATTATAAGAAATAAAGAACAATGAAAAAAATTGTAACTCGATTAAATTTTCAAAGGATCAATCAAATTAAAATCGTATAGTAAAAATACCTACTTTATTTTTATATCAATAAAGTCATTCAATTTAAATTTATTCTCACGTAGTACATTTTATACAACCAAAAATCTCACGTGGAGCTTTTGCAAAACAAAACACACACAAGTTTATTAGCAAAGGGCACTCGATCCTTATGAAGTACATCACTATTATTTGAATTAAGGACAAGTTATCTTCTTCTTCATTTGGTAGATTTATCTTATTTAAGTAATTTGTTCAATTACATTAACATATAGAAACTTGCTTCACCCGACTCTGCACATAACGGAAGCTTAGTGCACCAGACTGTCTTTTTAATTTCAAGAATTGAATTCTCTTTTGAAGTTGAACACGAGAGGAACATCGTTGAGTGCTAAACGATTTTGTTCGTTGATCATATAAACTCCAACATCTTTGCAAATGACTTTGCAGTAAGTGCACACTGAAGGACAATAAACAAATTTGTAACCATGTCCATACTTCTCAATTTTGAACCAATTCCTTATTGTTTTAGAACCAGGATTCCCATCAACTCCACCAACGTTAACAAAATACTTCCCTGTCGATGGATCATACTCCTCAAGTTGCCACACTGTCGATTGACGACATTCGTACGTGCTGAAAATCGCAACATTTAAATCAGTCGATACACGTATTATACCTTTCTTTTTATCCAGCGGGATAAATTCTAAAATATCACCATTTTTGTCGTATTTTTCTTTTACAACGCCAAGTTGACATGTCTCATTGCCGATGGTTTCTACAGAGAGACCGCCATTTTCGCGATTTGTTGGCACTATGTAATACGTTGTGTGTGTTCGGAGGATTTTGCCATTTATGTCTAACACTGGTTCAGGTGCGGAGGATGCTTCACTAAGCCAAGAATTGATGAAGGTGACAAGTAATAATATAAGCAATAGATTCTTCATTTTCTGAAATTTTGTAAGTAGTGATATTTTTGTTTTGTGAATTTTGCATGGACAATTAGAGATGTGAAATGTGTTTTTTTTTATAAAGAAAATAGCACATTGGTTGTGGATTTTTTTAATACTTGGGGACGTGCCTAAATTAAAAGGTTGATGGTGTTTGACCTTATATAATTTATGTTTTTTATTTTTTATTCAGTATTCGATATCCGTATTGAAGTCTGACTAATTCAGATTCACATCGAATAGGGCCCCATTTGGATAGCACTCCTTACAAAGAATTTTTTTTATGCCTAAGGCTTGAATCCAAAACCGGTAATTATGGGAGGAGCATGCAATCTCATCCGATCCACTACTCCATATCCATTAGTAATATATACTAACTAGTGTACTTGGCCGCGCTTCGCGCGGTTATGAAAAGAATTAAAATAAAGTTACATACTAATTTCATTAATTACTTTAATAAAAGGAATTTTTTATTAATCACCTAATATCATAGAAGAGAAACTATGAAAAATATTTAGGTTACATATGAAATTCATTAAGAAATCAATATATGTGAACTTCTGAAAGTTAAATATTAAAAATAAATTTCATAGAGAAAAAAGAGAAGGTAATATTAAAACTACTGGAATGTAAACTTTAGATGGGATCCTTTTTTTCTTTTTTATTTGGGATCTTTTTTAGTATAATTTATCTATATTTATATAAACTTGAAATCTGATCGTTCTTTTGTACTTCTTTGTAATCTTTTTAATTATATTCTTAGTATAATTTTTCGACAATGTGTAAACTCAGATTGCCATTAATAGTTATTATCCATGACTACATTGTTAGCCAACACTATTTTTAATCATTATCCACAAATACTATTATTTGTCGTCGTCATCGCCCAATCATCACATGTTTTAATTATTTTTATTGTAAAATATTAGATTAATTTAATATTTGATTAATAACTTTTTAATAATCAAATTTAAATAAAAATAAGCTTACATATTTAAATGATGAAAAATAACAATCTTAATTAGTTAGTTTTCATATCTTAATATATTATTATTATATTTAGGTTGAGATATCCAATTACCTTTAGGGACAAGTTATATCAGGAAAACAAAAGAAGGTAAGAAAATAAATTTAAAAATAAACATAAAAGAGAATAAAAGAGAGAACTCACTACGCAAAAAAAATTCAAAAAAATGACACATACAAATTCCTATTTCTTTTAATTTTGTTTGGCTTAAACACAAAAATATTAAAAAGTATATTTCACATTTTAAATAAATATTACATTCAATATAATAGATCTAAAGAGGGTCATAGCTTATTCAACTTGCAGTCAATTAGGCTATATGATCTTTGCTTGCGGAATCTCTAACTATTCGGTACGCTCTGCTCTCTCGCGACCCCTACTCTAATCAAAAGACTAAAGGCCCCGAATTATCACTTTCATTCGACGATACAAATAAGATAAAAGCTGTGGGGAGTGCTTTAAGAATAAAGAGTCACAATAATTAAGAGAATTAAGAATGTGGTTTTGGAGTTGTTTGTAACATAATAGGAGTAATATTTGTTCATTATTACACTAATGAAGAACATTAGTTATAGAAAATGAAAAGACAATCAAATTAGAGTTATAATTAAGACAAATATTTTATTATAAGTAAATAGAAAGCAAGGAAACCAACTGTATTTTTAAAATTATAAATTAATCGCAATTTTGAAATAACTTTAGAACTCCTGGAAAACAACAAAAATGAAAAATATAAAAACTACAACTTGACTTATTAATTAAGGAGTAAACAACTTGAAATCTCCTAGAAAAACAACAAAAATGAAAAATATAAAAACTACAACTTGACTTATTAATTAAGGAGTAAACAACTTGAAATCTCCTAGAAAAACAACAAAAATGAAAAATTTAAAGACTTCAATTTTACACATTAATAAATAGTTTATTTTTAAGAAAACCAAATGTATTTTCAAAATTATAAATTAACTTTACATTCTTATGTTCTATCATTTTTGTTAATAAAAATTGTTCCACCATGAAAATATATGTACGTTTTTCTTTTAAGTAGCATATTGATATTCATTGACGCAGTTTCTGCTTCTATGTTTTAAAATATTATAGCCCACAAACACAATAAACTAATATTATCAACAAAAAAGTGAAAGATGAATTTTACCTGAATAAATAATTTTTTTGAAGAGTGTTATCAATATAATATAATCAGAATTACATAGAGGTCTAAAGAGAATAAATAAAATATTTTTTTTTAAAAAAACTCAGGATTTATATCTTCACGAACACAAACAAATAATATTAAATGTATGATTTCAACAAAGAAAGAGTTGTAATTATATTAGACATATCAAATTATGTTACCTTGTAAAATCAAATTATGCAAAAATGTCTAACCATTTTCATTATAGATATATCTGCTATAATCTGCAACATATGATCAAATAAGTTAAAAAATTATCTAGCAAAAGAAGAAAAAGATATAAAATAAGGAGATAATTACATTTAATCATAAGTCCTCTTACGCATCTATTCATTTTTGACAAAACATAAATAATCCAAAAGGAAATAATATAATAGAAACATTGCTTCTTAAGCACCTAAAAAAATAAAAAATAATCAATCTATATAGTGCAAAATCCATTAATCTCCATCTCTTGATGATTTCATTTCACCCTATATACAAGAGTCAAGAAAAATAATAACAATTTGTTAGTCCTAAAATGAATCTCCATCGTTATGGTTATAAAGAGAATCATAAAGATGACAAACCAACATAATTTATCCAGAAGAAACAAAAATATGCTTTGACATATTAGCCTTACTTGCTAATTAAAAGTAATATATGAAATTAAAATGAAAAAGATAATGCACCGCAAAGCTTAAAAATATTGTAACATATCAGCCACTAATTCTCTAACCGAAGATGACTACAAAATAACACACAATTTTAGTGTGATTTTATAGTGTTAATATAACCTTCTACATTAAATAATTAAAGGTTATGAATATGAAAGGTTTGGGAGTTATGAATAATATTAATACTAATTTAAGAATAGAATTTATATAATTGAAGAGGCATAAGATAAGAAAAATTTGCAAGAAAAAATAATTGAAAGAAATAAGAAAAAATGTCAAAGAAAAGAGAAAAATAAATAAATATGAATGTAGGTCATAGAAAGGTGTCACATCACCTTCTCTATGTTCCTCCTTTATATAGATATATAGATTCTTTTATTTTTGGAAATTTTTTCTTTCTTTCCAATCGAATGAGCAATTTTGAAAGTTTTAGCTACTAGTTTTAATTTGATGGATTATATTTCTAGGGGAGCTCATTTGGTTTTTCTTCCCATCAATATATATAATATAATATAATACAATAAAATAAAGATTAAAAGTAAGTGTCACTAGTTATGAAATCCAAAAGGCTTTCATTAAAAGAAATCATTTAATTATCATCTAATTAAATTATACTAACGGATAGTGTATAAATAAAAGGAAAGGGTCAAGAAAGGCAGGACAAGTTGTTAGTATATAAAATCAACCTTTAAATTTCAAAACGGTTATTATACACCAAAAAAAATTATATTGGCCATCATCACTTGTCGAGGAGCAGAGTATGAATTCATGGAAACTAGTGATGTCTGACTATGAATTCCATTCAAATCGAAATTGCAGAAAAATAACGTGCGTTCAAACAAGTATAATATTCAAAGTGTTTATGGTGAAAATTATACTTAAATTATCACTTTTTTCGTAAATATTATCTTAATTATCAATTGTTTTTTTAACTGTTTAAACTGTCACTTCCTTTCATATTAAAACACACTCTTTCATATTGAGTTAATCAAATATTTATATTTATCGAAAACATACGTGTGTAAATGGCCTTCAGCATCGAGGTGTCTTTTAATTAAAAAAAGTGATAATTAAAATATGAAATTCACTTAAAATATAGTTAACTGTTTTACTTTTACCATTAACTCAAATCTAAATGATGTGACAAGACAAACCATATGCTGCAGCCACCTCATAGTGTCTCTCTGAAGTACTCCATTCTACTAGCAAACTGTGATAAAAACATTAGTATATAATATGTATCTTATGTTACTTTTTTTTTTTATATACCACGTTATTATAACTTGAAAAATTAAATAATAATATCTAGCTGGCTCCGATCCAATTTTAGCCCATGGTTTCAGTAATTTAAATATTAAATAATGAGAACTAAATAAAACCAGATGGATTAAATATTAAATAATGAAAATTAAATAAAACCATATGCTTCCATCTCTTATTGTCTCTTCACCCTACGCGACAGGTAAACTAGGAGTACTATATATACTTTTAAAAAATATAATATTATAGTACTTCATCATTATAGTAATTTCACTTTCCCATACATAATTTTCTTAAATTAAAGTTACAGAATCGAGCCCAATCTCATTTAAAAATAAGTTTAATTTTAATATGTAACGAGTGAAATAATATTACATAAATTGAGGTGGAATGCGTGTAACCTTATCTTTGACTGATGCATTCCATTCCAAAAATGATTACTTAATTAATTAGGTCTACATGTATTTCATGAATGAATATATGAATGCCGCGTCCTCTCCTTTGGTGCTTGTCGGTGGCAAATTTATACTACTATGAAATTCATTACTTTAGCATTGAATTGGTCAAATTATTTATATACATCTTCCCGTCTAGTGTTTATTATTTATATTCGAGTCTGATTAAATTTAAATTTACTCCGTATAGATCGTTATTCGAGGAAAAGCGCTCTCTGTCAAAAAAAAAAATCATACCTTAAGCTTGAACCCAAAACCTTCGATTAAGAAGGAACAAACACATCAACTATATCACATCATTTGGTAGTTTTTATATACTATTATTATTTTATAATATCTCTTATGAACAAAAATAATAATCTCTTGAAAAAAAAAACATAAAATTAAAACCAATTTATGAAAAATCAAAAAGTAAATTGACCCAAAATATTAAAGTAATTTAATTTTAAAACTTATTTAAATAACTCTTAAAAAAACGTATCACATAAATTACAATCGAAGAAGTACAAAAATATTATTTTATTGCCGTTACAATTATTAAAATTTTAGCCCCACCACTATCGCACGCCTCCTTCATTACAAAAACGAGTAATGAAGATATGACGATCCACCAACGTGCAAAATATCATCACTCTTATCTCTCTATAAATTGACATCCACTTGCCACAAATACTCATATCAAAATCAAACTAAACACAACAAAAAATAAAATCATGAACACCCTTTTGTTACTATTTTCACTTTCACTTTCAATTATTCCATTTACCTTATGTGTACCCAATCCCTCAAGAATACTCTCATCATCATCATCATCTCCAGTTCTCGATATCAATGGTGATAAAGTTCAAGCAGGTCCCAACTACTTCATCTTACCCGTCATTCGAGGAAAAGGCGGCGGACTTTACCCATCCAACGTTAAACAACACAATAGTACATGTCCTAGAGACATTATTCAAGAGACCGACGAGGTACAACAAGGATTGCCAGTAGTGTTTACACGTCTCGACGCGAAAAAAGACGTCGTTCGTGTATCTACTGATGTTAATGTTAGGTTTTATACTCCGACGATTTGTGCTAGAGAAACTATTTGGAAACTTGGAGCATATGATGACAAGTTGAAACAGTATTTTGTTGTGACTGGTGGAGTTGAAGGTAACCCGGGTCCGAAAACCGTGGGTAATTGGTTTAAGATTGAGAAATTCGGGTCGGATTATAAGTTTGTGTTTTGTCCAACTGTGTGTAAGTTTTGTAAAGTTATTTGTAAGGATGTTGGGGTTTTTATGAAGGATGGAGTTAGGTTTTTGGCTCTTAGTGACACTCCATTTAAAGTTATGTTTAAGAAGACTTTTTGATTGGGTAATTTTTTTTTAATTTGTCAAGTTTTATGCTAAATGGAAAGATTTGGTTTATAATAATATTATGTTTTTGATATAGGAATGCGACTCTTTATTTTTATTTTTTTCTATTGCTAGCTAGTGTTTCTTAATTAATTTTCGTCTATTGGATTGTTATTCATCAAAAACTTGTTAAAATTTAAAAGTTTAATTTTATCTTATTTTGTACGAAAATGGAAAATTTACATTTCAGTAAAGGATTAAGTTTTTCTTAAATTGTCTCTTCAACAATAGGCGTTATATAAATTAAATTGCAATTATGTTTTCGGGATTTTAATGTATACATGACTTTTCTTTTTAAAAAAATTAATACTTCCTCCGATTCTAATTTATATAAATATGTTTAATAAAATACAAAATCAAATTATTATTTTTTTTTGAAACTTTCGATCGAAGATGAAACTGAGAAATATTTAATTATAACTTGAATATTTAGCGTAGAACTTGGGAAAATTTACCTCTTCATTAGCATACAATTTTCTTAGAAGATATGAAACAAGTGAAGTATAATCAGTAAATTAAGCCTAGTTTTAGTAATATTTGAAAATGTTTTTTGAAGTAATCCTTCGTTCTCTCATCTCTGTTTTACCACAAATAAAATTATACTCTAGTACGTAACTACCAAACTACGCATTATATGACTATAAATTTTGTACCAAACTATGAGTAAAATTCAATCCACTATAAATAATGAGTTTATTTATAAAATATAAAAAATTATGGTAATTTTTTTTTAAAAAAAAGTTCTTAAATAATAGAATTTAATCAAAATACTAGATTTTTTCTTATATTTAGGAATTTTAATTGTTTTTCAAATAGTGAGAATTTTTTTTTTTCCACCCGGCGACCGTAGCACATATTGGAGCTCCGACTAAATCCGAATTGCGCACTGCAGGGTCCATTCGGGGGTGGCGCTCTCAACAAAATTTCCTCCATACTCAAGACTCAAACCCGAGACTTCTGATTAAGAATGAAACACCCTTAGTGTGCACCACAACCCATATTGCTAAATAGTGACAAGTTATTCGACCCAAACAATATTTGCCAAGTTTTTTCCTATATTTTATGGAATATTTATGGCCAAACACGTCACTGCGAACATAATTTCGATCTGTTAAGTGTCATGTATATTCTTAGATGCATTAAAGTCAACATCTAGAAGACTCCTCCAGTCCAATCAAGATGTGCGTTCATTATTGAAGCTCCATTTCAGTTATCAACATCATGCTTCTATCCGTCCATTTCAACTTTCGATTTTTGAGATTCAAATAAATTTATTTTAATCTTAAATTTTTCATATATTATTTTTTTACATATTTTGAATTGTTAATTATTGTATCTTATAGTACTTATACTTAGTTTATAAATATATAAATTTCATTTCAAAAAAAGTTGAAGATTTTATACTCAAATTTTTTATTAAACTTAAACTATTTGACTATCGAAAAATGAAATGTGTCACATAAATTAGCATAGAAACAATATTATTTTTGAAGTCAAATATTATTACTCCTTTACTTAGCTTGATCTTTATATCAAATAAGTATTTTATTTTATTTGTTTATATCTCTAACTAATTTTTTTTTAGGAGATGTTTGGGGTTAATAAAAATCAAGTAATATAATTCAAAGAGATTATTTATTCATATAAATATTTTGACAGAGTATCCCATTTTAAAAATCATTGAACACGTTTGATTTAAAATTTCAGGGACCGCCACTACTTTTTTTTTTTGTTTCCCTACCAACAGAAATTAAAGTAGCTTATCCCTTGGCTATAAATTGACATCCAATTCTGATCATTCAACGCACCAAAAAAAAAAAATGAACATTCTTTTGCTACTTTCAATAATTCCATTTACCTTAGCATCATCGTCATCACTATCTCCAGTTCTGGACGTCAATGGCAACGACGTCGAAGGCGGTCCTAACTACTTCATCTTACCAGTGATCCGAGGAAGAGGCGGTGGCGGACTTTCCGCATTCAACGTTAAACAAAACAGCACTTGTCCTAGGGACATCATACAATGGGATGACGAGGAACAAGAAGGATTGCCCGTGGTGTTTACACGAATCGACGCTAAAAAAAGCGTCGTTCGTGTATCCACTGATGTTAATGTTAGGTTTTATACTCCGACGATTTGTGCTAGAGAAACTATTTGGAAACTTGGAGAGTATGATGACAAGTTGAAACAGTATTTTGTTGTGACGGGTGGAGTTGAAGGGAATCCGGGTCTGAAAACCGTGGGTAATTGGTTTAAGATTGAGAAATTCGGGTCGGGTTATAAGTTTGTGTACTGTCCAAGTGTGTGCAAGTTTTGTAAAGTTATTTGTAAAGATGTTGGGATTTTCATTACTAAGGATGGAGTAAGGTTATTGGCTCTTAGTGACACTCCTCATAAAGTCATGTTCAAGAAGACTTTCTGATTTTGGCAACTTTATTTTGTAATAATAAAAATAAATATTTTGTGTCTGATTTGATGTAATCTTGGTTGTGTAAAGTTTGGACATGGCTTGATCTTCATCTACATCATTGTTGTTTATTTTAGCTACCCCACCTTTGTCTCTGTTTCTTCTAAAAAAAAAATACTCTAGTAGTATTATTTTTCACAATATTTGTTATTTTCACGCTTAATCGATAATATTTTATATTAAAGTCACTGAATAAAGATATGCTTTGAGTTAAGTATAACCGAAATAATTAGATGTCACAGTACAAAAAAATAATCAAGCAAATAAATTATATATTAAAGAACATAATACTTAGTTTAATATGATTTAGTCAATTGTTTTACCTACAATGAATTTTGGAGAGAATATCTCGAAAAGTTCACACTTAAATTTAAAGAGGTCTAATATATTTATTTTTACGGTGATAGTGACTTTTATTAACTATAAAAATGATCTCTTTAGAGTTTACATTGAAATGAAATGTTTCAAAATTTTATGTCTAATATAATGTGTAGATCATAATTTAAGGTGAAAATTTTCACTAAAAGCGATAGTTATATTCATATTAGTGAGGATTCATCAAATCAAACCCATTGTCGCATTACGTGAGCTTAACTTAACGTTTAGAGTAGTTGCTTCACTTTTCCAACTAAACACCAATCATCTATTGGAGAATATATTGATCAAATTACATCTAATAGAGTTACTAAGATTTTGTAAACAATATTATTGATCTTTATGAAAAAATTAACCCCGATGCTTTCAGTTAGGGAGGAGCTAGTAACTTGTATGCGAATTCAGCTGAACTCAGTAGATTTTACTCAAATAATATATTTATGCTAATAAATTTATTTAATATATACAAATATTAAATTTTGAATCCTTATTATCACTTAAAATCGTCATTACAAAATTCAAAATCCATAAAATTGAAATTTCATCTTTTATATCTGCCTGGGTTGACCAATTTATAGTGTTTTTTTTTTAAAGTAAATATTTCATATATTGACGGGGGCAATTAGACATAATTAAAAACAAGGAACTGATTAACGGACATAATTCAGAAGTGAGGGGACCAAAGAGAAATTATCTGTAAAAGTCGCGGGGCTTTGCTAGGGTTTAACACAGAGAAATTTTACGCCTTTCTTCTTCGGAAAAAAGAGAAATCGAATTAGCTTGCCGGAGTCAGAAAAATGTCGAGACCGGAACTCCTAGCACCGCCGGAAATTTTCTACAATGACGATGAAGCTAGAAAATATACCTCATCTTCTCGAATTATTGACATACAGGTATATATCCTATTGTAATGAACAATTTTATAGCTATATGGTAATGCTTCTGATATCTGTTTGTATTTATTGAAAGACACAACTTTCCGAGAGAGCATTGGAGCTTCTTGCTTTGCCAGATGATGGCGTCCCAAGATTGCTTCTTGATATTGGTATGTATGTATGTTTATGAGTATTACCTGAAAAATTTGATGGGCTAGATTTAGCATTGTGAATGAAAATAAACGAATTTGAGCATTCTGAGCTTCCTTATATCCTATATTTGTCCAAGTATGGTTGGTCCTTCTGGTTTATAGTAAAGCTTGTGAGGTGCATATGGTCTATCACATAAAGGAGTCTTCATGTTTACAAGGTATTGACTTTTCCTATGCGGAGAAAGTTTTGTAGGTTTAATTTAAATAGGAAAGTGTTCACCTTCTTAAATTGTTGAACAATCAGAGTAGAATGAAGTGTTTGATTGGCCTTTTATACTGTAGCATGGGAAAGTGCCTCAATGTTTACTGGTGTAGAGTTATGCAATTTAGCCAGGTTTGCTTGTGTCTTTAAGTTCACTTAGGTAGTAGTGGTCATCATGTAAACCTGAAAGATTGGAACTTCTGGAATTGTTGCACTTATGGATCCTACAGCTGTATCTTTAAAGCAAAGACGCTTGTTTCTGCATATTCAATTGTTTAGTTTTGAGATTTCAAACTCATTTCACCATATTCAGTTAAACGAAAGTGTGAAGGAAAAACAATGATATTTCATTCTTTCTTGTTTTTCGAAGGTTGCGGATCAGGTCTAAGTGGAGAGACACTCACTGAGCATGGACACCAGTGGCTTGGTTTGGATATATCAGAATCAATGCTTGGTATGTAAATTTCTTCTTAAATGAGTAAAAATTTGATATCTTGCTATGATCTTTATCAGACCGCTATATGGTGGTTTTATTCTAGATATTGCATTGGAGCGTGAGGTTGAGGGTGATCTGATGCTGGGTGACATGGGTCAGGTAGGTTTCTTAGTTTCTTCTGAATGCTTCATCCCACTATTAATTGTGATTTAAAATGCCAGATACACCTTGTTGTTATTCTATAATCCTGTTGCTTGGGCTGTAACTTTTTTAAAGTTGTCAAAACTCGTACGTGATCCACCACCCAGTGTACGTAGCTCATCAGCTGAGAAATCTCGAAGTGCCCAAAAAGGAAAGGGAAATACTGCACATAACTACAGACTTAAACATGCTAGCTTGTCATGAAAACATTGAGCATACTAATGAACCTATCAAAATATATGACAAAGTACCAATTCATGGAAGCAAAGCTTCAGCTTTACCCAGCTAAATATGACACTTCATTTTGCATGATGTATTTTTCTTCTCTGTTTTGATGACAAACAAGTGATGATTTTTAGGTTACAAGTTTACAAGCTGTAATGCTACTCTCAAATCGAGAATAGGTTATTCCACAATTCCATATCTCATAATTTTGCATGCAAGTCATCTATATATTAGGTGGAGTTTTGTATCAATACCATTTACATTTCTTCCCTGAGCCCTCTTAAATACTATGAATATAGATATGTTTATTTCTAGAATATTCTGCCTGTTAGGCTATAACTATCATCTATATTTAGGATTTTCAAGGCAAAGGCATAGTAGACATATTCATAGTCATTTGGATATGGTTTTCCAGCATGATTTGTCTGCAAAGTCTATTTTTTTTTTGTGTGCGCTTAAAGACTGGAGAAGATGAAGGATCATGAATTGTGGTTGTCTATCTTGGTTGATTGTGCACACAATTAGATTACTTATCAGCGGAGTTGTGCTAATAATGCTGTTGATAAACTTTTATGTTGATAGAAATGTTACAAGTTGTCAAATAATGGGTAGTTCAAATTTGTTCATGTTCTTTTATAGAATGGCATAAATTATCTGTTTGCATCTATCGTAGGGCTTAGGGCTTCGATCTGGTATTTTGGATGGTGCCATCAGTATCTCAGCTGTGCAGGTATTTTTTTCCCTCTTCTTTGTTGAGATCTTCAATTTTCTGAGCTGATAATGATGATAGTTACCAGGGGAGCCTTGACAATTTAGAGTTATGTGTGAAATGTTATCTATTGTTTTTTCATAATCAATTTTGTGCTTTTGATATGAAATAATTAGCGTATGTACTACTTTGAAGTTTCAAGAGGCACGTCTTGCCATAGTCCTCATAATCTCATCATCTCCTTGCAAACATTCTCTGGTTATGACTTCAATTTGGTACCTGTATGAATTTCCTTTAGTTGGTTTTGGGTGAATTATCAATACACACCGATTTGTATAGCTTCTTAAGGCATATTGCTTATCAGTTCTGATGTACTTAATTTTCCTGAGCAGTGGTTGTGCAATGCTGACAAATCTTGTCATGAACCTCGGATAAGATTGAAGTAAGTAAAAAAAAATCTTTTCTTATTGTTAGTTGGTCAATTGTGATGTTAATCTCCTCATGATCCATTTATGATGTCATTGTAGTTGAATGATTTCATACTCCTTCTAGCTATCTAAGTAGTATGAATTTTATTCATAACACTGCAGGGCTTTCTTTAGTTCCTTGTATAGATGTTTGGGAAGGGGAGCAAGAGCAGTACTCCAGATCTATCCTGAAAATCTTGCTCAGAGAGAGCTGATTCTGGGTTTTGCCATGCGAGCTGGATTTTCTGGAGGCATAGTTGTTGACTACCCACACAGGTTAGTAACCTATAGATTTAATTTACTGTCATTTTTTCCTAATTTTGTTGTGAAATAGTTTGAAAATTTAGCAGTTTACCCAAGTGCAGCTCATTCCTCAATGGTCCACCCCTGACCTAAATGTACCTGACATGTACAAAGGGAAGTCTTATATGGCTAAGTTGCACTTTTTTCATTCTAGTTACAGCTTAGTTGTGTGAACTTTTGTAGCATGTTACCCTTCAATTTATTTGAATTGAGATAGTTTAGGCCATCTGTAAGCAGCATCAATCAAAGTAAATAAGCACTTGTCAACCACAGACTGGCTTTTGCGACCGTTAGTTCCTCCTGTGGACTTCCCTATACCTCTCTCATGCTCAGCATATGTGCCAAAGGCACTTTTGGAACGTTGACCAAGTACACACTATTGCTCTAATATTGATAGAACTGCTTTACAAATTGATTAGCCAAAGACAAACTGTTTTTTCTCAAAAAGTATTTTTTGAAAAGCACTTCTGACAGAACACTGTTCAAAATAAACAGGTTTTAGAAGTTCGGCCAAACTGACTATTAATCTTACTAAGCACCCTCCTAACAATTGTTAAGAGTGGGTTGGTGTATAAAGATTAATAGTTTACTTGCCTAAGATGAGGTTTAGCAAATAAAGGACCAACCTGTATTACATAATTTATTTTTTTTAATTTGGTCAATTCCATTAGTACGACGAAGCTAGGTTGCGTTTTGGAAGTAAAACTTTAATGTGTAGAACACAAAAGGGAAATGACTGAAGCAAGCAAAGTAACTGAAATAAAGACCCAGAAAGTGCAAAACGATTTTATCCCTTTTTTATGTAGCTGCAAAAAGATGCATGAAACAAGTTATTTCTTCCACTCTTTCTTTTATTAAGTTATTTTTCTACCTTATATCGTTATATCACGCTAAAGATTTTGCTTTTGTACTTGGAAAAGATATTGCCTTAGTAACAAAGATTATTATGAATTGACCAGTATCAGTTAGTGTAAGCTTAACCAAAAGTAGAACCAAGGAACCTGAATTTTTTGGTGCTTGAGATGTATGTTAGCTTTGCCCCAGGATATGATTACAATGCACTTTCAAGTGAAGGTTCATTTTGTTTTGATTTGGTTGCTGTCCTGACATAAGATTGTATGTTGTTTTGTTGTCGCAGTTCTAAAAGGAGGAAGGAATACTTAGTTCTCACTTGTGGTCCACCGTCTCTCAGCACCACTACTCCCGAAGGAAAGGGTGAAGATGGAGAGAGTTGTTCTGATGAAGACAGTAGCGAAGATGAAGAAAACCAGACAGTAAGTAATTCAAGGGCACTTAACTTACCGCCACTGAAGCTAATCAGTGTCTTTCCTCCTCCCAAAACCATTTTTTTTTTGTTTTTACTCCCATCACCCTACTGTGCAGGTTTGCATATCTGACAGGCGCAGGCCTAGAAAAAAGCAAAAGGTGAACAAGAAAGGCAAAGGGAGGGACTGGGTTCTGAGGAAGAAAGAACAGATGAGGAAAAAGGGGAATGCGGTTCCTGCAGATAGCAAATACACCGCACGTAAAAGAAAAGATCGGTTTTGATCCATTAGTAAGATATATTCGGGTTGATTTATATGTTTTGAACAGAACTTCAGCACAAGGAGCTAAAATTATTGCTTATTGACCGAAGTGAGAAGCAAAAATATTCTGATAAAAGACGTTCCTCAGATTGTTTAAAGATTCTGGGACAGTTTTGTGAGACCTGAATACAATTTTTCAGCTGAGTTCCAAGAGTAAACAAGACGGTCTATAGTTTCTTGGTTCTTTACGTATGATTTTTTTTCAGTTGGAGGTTGTTTTTCGATAGATCAACGTAGTATGTATTTAACCCCTTCTGGAGTTGATCACTGGTTGAATACTTTATTTTCTTATGCAGTAGAAATTGTGTTTATTTATCTTTCTAAGTGGGGGGATTCATTGGCAGTTCCATCTTATGGTAAAAGTCCCAAATAGTACTAGTTATGAATTAAATTGGGTTAAAAGAGGAGATCGAGTAATTTAAATGAAATTGGATAGTTTTGATCGATTTTGAGAAATTCCTTTTATTATGGATATTTATGTTAAGTTTAGTAATGGTAGAAATATAAATAATTCGATATTGTAATGAAAGATAAAAAAAATTAATTTATACATGAAAGTTAACGGAATATTTATGATGCTTTTCCCTTCAATAAATTAAGAACTATACAATTATTAAAGGGTCCGAGAAAGGATTGAATTCACTTGTAATCTACTGGAATCTTCTTCATCTTCAGTTGTTGAGGATCATAATCTTGATTATCAACGGTCTTTGATCATCTTGAGAAACTGGAGCCACACATATTTCCAATTTATTTTGATCAATAAAATCAACAATATTACTATTTGAAGTATCACCTATTTTCTCATCTCCTATATAAGTAAAGTTATCATAATTGAGATATGGACATATATTTGGATCATATCCATGAAAATCATGATTTTGTCCATTTGAATAATTATTATCAAAATTGTCCATAACACCACAGGGTAGATGAGAAAAACTTGGTTGCATGGTTGAAGTGGAAGCAATGTCAGTAATATCTATGTGTGGTTGATATTGTTGCAATGAAAAATGTTCATCTGATCACAATGAATTATTAAAAATTTGATCATTGTCATTCTTCTTTCTACTTTGATTATATATCACACAAAGTGTTAACTCATAATCTGACTAAAAAAAAAAAAAAGTTAGTCAAATATAATCAAAGAATATACTTGAAAAATAGGAAGGAAATTAAATAAAAAGTTTACATACCTCTTTGATTAGTAGTGGAGAATTGGTAGGAAATCTATACTCGGACATAAGCCAAGAAGTTTTTTTGCCTTTTGAATTATTTGGATTTGATTTAATGTAGGCAAGAGGTGTTTTTGTTCCAATTGTATTATTATTTTTTACTATATCTTTACGCGCTTGTGTAGATTTCCAATAACCTTTTCCTGAATGTAAATTTCTCTCAAGTTTATTTCCATTACCAAACTTCTTTTTTGCCAAAGTAAAGAAATACATACGTCCATTCCAGTGTTCTTCAACAAACCCTAGCAAGCAAAATAAACTCAAATTAGTATATCCTTAATCAATAAAATCGTGATAAAAACTTAAATTTGGAATAAAAAGAGGTTAATATCCCACAAATTCTCTTCCTGACCAAAATGTTACTCCCTCCGTCCACTTTTATTTGTCATGTTGCACTTTTCGAAAGTCAATTTGACTAATTTTCAAACTTAAATTAGATTACATTAATTCGATATTTTAAACAAAAAATTTAGATATTCAAAAACTATACGAAAAGTACTATACATTGCAATTTTTTGCATATCAATATGATGAAAAAATATATTGTAAAAGTTAGTTAAATTTTTTATAGTTTGACTCTAAAACTGGAAAGTATGACAATTAATAGTGGACGGAGGGAGTACAGAAAGACTAGCCAAATATAGAAACTTTATGTTTATGGTAAGAAACTCAGGACAAATACTTAATAAATTCATCAAAAATTTAAATCAAAGCCATAAATCAGGAGGAATTTTTTTTAATTAAACAAACGCTAGCTAAGGATAAGAATGTGTACCGGATAGTTTATGAGGTTCATATTGATAAATATCAAGATCAGTAAAAATTCCAGGTAGAATATAACCATTAGAAGCTTTAAGTTTCAAATAAATATTCAATTCTTCATCCGTTGGCACAAAATGGAAGCCTATTGGTAATAGATTCTTCCATTGACGATCATATTCATAATTTGATAAAGTCATAACAATTCAAACAATAAACAAATAGAGCAAGACTATACTATAAATTTTCAATACGAAATTTTAGGATTTATGAAATAAAGAATCAGAGAGAATTGAGTGTATTTATAGAAATATTTTGGTTATCCTACTTAATGTATGATTTAGATTAGAAAAATAGAATACAATGTGAAATGGATTAATTTTGAAAATTCCACTTAATTTGTAATTTGGATTAGAAAGGAAAAGATTAATTTTGGCAATTTATAAATATGGATTCTACTGTACTTTTACCGGAACAAGTTAGCTAACACCGGTTCGAATTGTTTGCCATTGAGCGGCATTTTAGTTTTTAAAACTGCCGAATTATTAATATATTTGAAATTATTTTTGAGATGCAAAGTTATTTCTTTATTTTTAATAAAAATGTTTACTTTTTTTTATTAATAGTACTTCATTCGTTTTAATCGTTTGTGGGATTTTGATTGACACGGATTTTTTAAGAAAAAGAAAAAGTAAAAAAGAACTATATACGGATAAGTTCTTATAGAATATGAAATCATTTCTATTTAAAAGGGAATTACTAAGAGTTTTCATGTTTTGGATATTAAAGAGCTTAGTATTCATGTTTTGGATATTAAAGGGGTGACTCAAGCAGCGGCCTAAAGTCAAAAATAAATCGTAGACCTTAAATGCTTTATTTTTTATTTAAAGTGTACTCTTTTAGTTTTAAAAAAAATACAGAGTTGTTAATATATTTGAAATTATTTTTGAGATGCAAAGTTATTTCTTTTTTTTTTAAAGAAAAAGTTTACTTTTTCTATCGATGATATTTCATCCGTTTCAATCGTTTGTCGGATTTTGATTTGATATGAAATTTTTAAAAAATTAGTAAAAAATATTAAGAACATGTTATTACTAACCAATAAATACGTTTTCACAACTTTCAAATTTCCATTCCAACACAATATTATATAGATACAAATAGATAAATATTTGGCTGATGCACACACGGGCACCTACCATCTAGTTATTAAACATATGTAAATAAATAAAAAATGTTAGTTCACTTTAGCTCAAATAACTCTGACGCCAATTTTATCCCAACTCATTTACTCAGCTATTTTGACCTGCTCAAATCTATTCCAATCTGTGCATTTGACACCTCTAATGGCAACAAACCGCACTTTTTCAAAGAATCCTGCACCCCCGACCTTCCTATTCCACCGAAACCCAGCGGTGTTACCCCGTTTAGAGTATTTCAAAGATATACACATTAGCTTGCGTCTATTTTAATTAATTTACCATGTACCTACAATCTTCCATTAGCGCAATCAAGAGGAGAAGTCGAGATTTAAAGTTTATAGATTCGAAGTTCTAGTTTTAATAAGCTACTAAATTCAATAAGCTACTAAATTCTAAATTGATAATTTGTACCAGTTTAATAGATATTTTAAGACAAATACAGAATTTGAACCAAAGCTATTGGATTCGACTGAAGTTGTATGTCACACTCTAGCTCTGCCCCAGAATCATTATGATGTGATTGCCAAAGGCAGAGAAGTGTATCATATACACAGATAAAATTATCAGCAGAACTAAACTAGCACCAAAATAAAGCAAATACCAGCAGACACAATTTTAATCCAGAAAAGGGTGTGCCTTTTTTTTTTTGCAATACAACAAACTCCAAACCAGAAAATGAAGAAATATCGAAATGACCGTTAGCCACTCTGAGTTAGACTCAAATTACAAGTGAAACCAAAGAAGTTTTTTAAATGAGAAGTACATATGGTTAGTTGATCTACAAGATAGATCAAGATACTTAAAACCACCTCGACACGAAAAACTCATAATCATGGTGCTTGTTGAAGAGTGTTTTTGCACCATTTGTTCCCACAGCTCGTGACATAAAAAATGCAGTCTGGTGCAGTGTCCTTACTAGATCTTTGTCGAAGTAAATCCACGGTCACTTCATTCAGGTACCTTGGCTGAAACCAGCATTCACCCTAGTTTCGCCATTCATAGGAAAGAAAAGAAAAAAATAACAACATTAGCTTTGAAGTAAAGAGAAAAAAGTACTAAATTGTGAACTTAAAACGCATTCAAAGGTGTAATCGTGCAGTTATCAATACCTGATTTGTGTCTGGTGCGGCATTCAAAGAAGCTCGACTGGTAGGAGATCCTTGCACAACCACACTCTTATTTCTACTCAGGTCATTTGAAACACATATTTCTTGATTTGTGTCAATGGTAGGAGATCCTTGCACAACCACACTCTTATTCCTACTCAGGTCCTTTGATACGTGTTTTTCCTGATTTCTGTCTGGTGCGGCATTCAATGAAGCTCCACTGGAAGAAGATCCTTGCACAACCACACTCTTATTTCTACTCAGGTCCTTTGAAACGTGTTTTTCCTGATTTGTGTCTGGTGTGACATTCAAAAAAACTCCACTGGTTAGATATCCTTGTACAACCACACTCTTATTTCTACTCACATCCTTTGAAACGTGTTTTTCCTGATTTATGTCTGAAAATACAAGGAATAAAAATCCTAACAGACTAACAAATGCCCTATCTTAATTGGCTAACTTGTAACAAACTATTATTTACAATTAATAAATACATAAATGGAAAAATAATATTTACAAGAACAAAAAAATGTGGAAGGTTCTGGATTGGTGCCAGCTGTTCAGGCCACGTGTCTTGTGTATAGTAGAGAAATATAATGGTTTCTTCACTCTTCATTTTTACTTTGCTCTTTTCAATTTTGCAATGTCTATGTCCGAAACACTCTTCTTCTTCATAATAAAACCTTTGCTATCTTTCTTCTCTAATGGATTTCCATCATCTGTAATTCCAACAAGAAGTTAGAATGTGGTTGTGCAAGGATCTCCTACCAATGGAGCTTCATTGAATGTCGCAATGGACACAAATCACGAAAAACACGTTTCAAAGGACCTGAGTAGAAATAAGAGTGTGGTTGTGCAAGGATCTCCTACGGGCTACATTGAATGCCGCACAAGACACAAATCAGGAAAAAAACGTTTCAAAGAATATGAGTAGAAATAAGAGTGAGGTTGTGCAAGGATATCCTACCAGTAGAGATTCATTGAATGCCGCTCCA